AGACTAAAGTCTCAAATCCAAAGAGATATTCTTTATAAAAGTTAAGAGTCAACCACGCCTACCTAAAATGCCTCGTTCTAACACGCCCCCACATGTCTACGTCACGATGTGGGAAGATTTGCATAACGCCGCCCAAATGTTCATGCAAAGAAAGGCGGCGTAACTTTTATTCTCGCTGTAGTATTGTTGCCGCCGCCGCCGCCATGTCGTGAAGGTGCTGTGTGTTTAGTTGTGAAAGCGAAACTACTTTGAAATCAGTGGCTAAGTTGTATTTACAACACTGTTCCAGAACAGTTCAACCCAAATATTCAGATGTGTGCAGCGCATTTTACAGAGGAAGACGACTGTTTCCTGAGAGAGTAGCCTACAATGCCGGTGTCTGTTTCTATAAAGTGGGGCAATTCCAACTTTGCAAGGACAGTCTGGTGCTTCTGATTAACAGACTGTAAGTACGTTTTTTATATTTAAAGAATTTGCCACTGATGATTCAAACGCGAGTTTTGAGAAGTGTAGAGTAGTGATTGTTGTTTGTCGTTTCTCCGATCACAAAAGCAGACATGGTTTTGTGTTTACGCGGCGCGATACGCAACACAGCACGTAAAAAGACAGTATAAGTCATTATAATCCGTAAATATTTCCCCACTGGATGCAACAAATGCCTCGTTTATAATGGGTTTTAATGTTTTTGTCTCGTCGCTGCGGCCGGACAGGGCATCATCACAGTATGGTAGGGGTGTAACATTTCCGTCACACGCTTGAGGTATTCGGCCAATCACAACGCACTGGATAGCTGGCCAATCAGAGCACACCTCGCTTTTCAGACAGATGAGTTTTGTAAAAATCGACGCATTTCAGAAAGGCGGGGCATAGAGGAGAAACAACCATGTACAGTATGTGGAAAATAATGTGTTTTTGAACCTTAAACCGCATAAACACATTGCATTACACCAAATACACAAAATAATGTTCTTTTTAGCAACATCATATGACCCCTTTAAGTTACCAAATATGGTTCTTCACCCGATAAAGGGTTAAACTCCTAATTTGCTGCTCATTAATAGTTAGTAAAGTAATAGTTAAGTTTAGGTTTGGGGTAGAGGATTAAGGGATCTAAAATATGGTCATGCAGAATAGGGCATTAATATGTGCTTTATAAGGACTAATAAACAGCCAATATGCTAGTAATATGTATGCTAATAAGCAACTAGTTAATAGTGAGAATTGGTCCTGTTTAAAACACATCAAATTTATGAAAATTGTGTTTTGAAAATTACATTACCAATACGTAAAGGCCATAGTTTATCCCTCACAGTCTCGTTTTCATCCATGTATATGGTGTCTACCCTGACTAAGGTCTATTCCAGTAAAATTGTGGGATTACCTTTTCTGTTAAGTGTTTCCCATAAAATGAAAGTATATATTAACAACTGTCAAGCTCCAAAAAGCAAAACAATAGTCCTTACGACTTGTACTCTATATTAAAAATCTTACGGTAGCTTTTAACAGACCCAAAATGTAATTCATTATTCATCTTCCCCCCTACCAAAGCTCATTTTTGGAGCTTGAAAGACATGATTACTGTGAACTACTGTTGTTAGAAAAATCTGTGAGAAGATTCTTATATATAAAAAAATTTAATTTTCAGTAAATATAAGAGAACGTCAGTGAGAGAGTTTTATTTTCGCTTAAGGCCGGAAGCGGCTGTTAATGATACACAAGATCCTAATGAGCTGCAATTAGCACACAAAAAGCCCAGTGTGTGCTGTGTGACGTGCTGTGTTGTGTCAATGGCAGCGTCCTGTGCTCTCAAACACTACTGCAGCAGGCATGTAATGTTGAAATCAGCTGTCACATTTGACACTCATGTGAGAATTAAACCAACGCAGTAAACTAACATCTAAACTTCATAGCATGCTCATTTACTGCCAACTGTACACTGCAGGAATGGCACAGAAGCACTTTTTAAGTAGCATTTAGGTGTCTTTAAACAGACTGTCTTCACACAGAATGCTACTTAGAAGTAGCATAAATGTATTTACAAAGCAAATACGACTGTATACTTTAGGGTCTGTGGTGGGTCAGAGCAAGCATAATTTAGTCTGGCTTTTATGCGTTTACACAGATTCTTGAGCAGACTTAACCCTGCGCCTGCGGCGTAAAGATGCCTTTATGTTACTGATGTGAGCTATAAATGTTACAGACAGCCAAATCTGAAATTGTACAAGTTAAACAAGCACAAGAGCAGCATAAATAGATAAGCATGATCTATATTTCTCATATTGCAACTGCTGACAACTGCAATATCGCCCCTAACACCCTCATGTTTGAAACCAATTTAACAGGAAATATTTTAAATATTTGTAATGTGAACATCTTTTAACAGTTATCAAGCCTAGTATCACAACATCAATATTAATACTTCTATTTTTTCAGTTTTAGAGATAACATTAATAATTTTAGCTGTTTAACATCATACTTAAAAGACATAATTAAAAGCCATTTAGAAGGCCTAAACTGCAGATTATCAGTATATTATGAAGCTACAATGGTGATACACACACACACTAAACTATTCAAAATGGGGTAACTGCAGGACACACAAATATTGCAAAAGAGTCTTTCCTCATCCAAAATGTTCTTCTGTGGTCCAAGGTATGCAAGCACTGTATTGTTTCAGATGAAGTCTAAAGTAGGGAAAAGACTTTCCCAACATGGCGATTCATCCCCATTTTTTCATTGGGCTTCTCTGGCTGTAATTGTAGCAAAAACCAAAAAGGCACAACATTTTACACTGATTTTTACCACCTGCATGCCAAGACACACTTGGTCGACTATCCTACGCTTCAGATTCATTGGATTCGCGTCTTCGCATGGAGCTGTGGTATTCAAGCACTCTGAACTTAAAGGGAGGGTCCTGGCTGGTTAGTATGGATCCGGAGAGCACAGCGAGTTCCTTCATCTATTCTGTGGGCCTTAAAAGTGCTGTTGCAAAGGCTTATTGAGTGTGTTTTAAAGAACCTTCAGAGAAGTGCTGTTTTGTGTATATAAATGACACTGTTGTGTATTTCTATAGTTAACAAAGATCTAAAACGTCATGGTCCAATTTTAACTTTGCTTATAAAATTAAGCAGCTTGCAGAATGCACCCTAACCCTGAAAAAGAGGGGGTTCCATACAAGAGTGAAGCCAAAGCTGATGTTTTTCCAAAGGATTACTCTACTCCCAGCACAGAGTAATCAGAGGAGAGAGAGAGATTATGCGTACGTGCAGCATATCTCTACTAAAAGTCAAGCTGTGAGCTCGATAATTCAAAAAAGCAATGTTGCCATCTCTCTGCTGCTATAAATGGAAAGGAGCTTTTCAGTAGCGAAGCTGAAAAGCTCAATGTCACATTAATAATAACACTTATTATAATATTATATTGAAAGACAGGTGCTCACACAATTTTCTGGAAAATTACTGGTAAATGAACAGGTCCTTTAGAGAAATACAGGGAAAGCAGTTCTAGCAAATTTCCAAGATGAGAAGTTGTAACATTACCAATACATTACTGTTTTGATGCTATGTGCGATCGAAGCATAAGATTAACAGTACGAGCATGTACGAGGTCAAGACATGGTCTGCTCTGAACCAATCATAAAGTTGGCGATTACTCCACAGCATATATAGTACGAAATGAAGAAAACAGCATTCATGTGCATTTTGGTGCTGATGAATAAATGGTAAATTAAAAGTAAAAAAGATGGAAAGCTGTCATTTGTGTGAATAGCAGATATGATAGTTGCGAAAAAAAAGTCCATCCCGCTGGCGATTTAACAGTAATGACAGGTTAACTTGTGCTACAGTTTCATCGTCATCTATGATATTTTTTATTTAAATCCTTATTAACTTCCATTGTAGTGTGTTTTGCCAAGTCGCTCATTGTCATACTGCACCATACATTATAGCAAGGTTACTGTAAACCACCCACTAAACCAGTGTTTCTCAACCAGGGGTCCGTAGACCCCTAGTGGTCCTTGACGTAAGGCCAGGGGGTCCATATAAAGTATGAATTTTTGTATACATTTTGTATATTTTGACATGACATGTTCCCATGAAAGAAAAATCCAATATAGCTGATAATATGGCCAAATACTGGACAAGTCAGCTAACTTGAATTATACTTGACTGTATTTGGTCCTCACAAAGACACAAATGATACATAGATGAGTCAATTGTGTCCTTGAGGATGGTTCTGAATTGGACTGGGGTCCGGTATGCCAAAAGATTGAGATTCACTGCACTAAACAGTATAGGTGAATAGGTTTAGATTGTATTTCGATTATAGATTTTATTCCTGTGAAGCTGAATTTTCAGCAACCATTACTCCAGTTTTCACATGATCCTTTAGAAATCATTCTAAAAGGTGCTCAAGAAACATTTCTAATTATTATCCATGTTGAAAACTGTTGTGATGCATCATATTTTCATATTTTTGAGGAAACGGTGATATACTGATACAATACTTTTCAAGGATGCATATAACTGAAAAAAGTGAGAGTAAAGACACTTACGTCACAAAAGATTTCTATTTCATGAAATAACTGTTCTTTTAAACTTTCTATTCATCAAAGAATCCTGAAATAGTCATCACAATTTCCAGAAAAAAATTACGCACCACAACTGTTTTCAACATTGATTATAAAAAGAAATGCGAAATCTCTTGAGCAGCAAATCAGCATGATTTCTGAAGGATCATGTGGCACTGAAGACTGGAGTAATGATGCTGACAATTCAGCTTTGTCAAAGTTATCTTAGATTTTAATAATATTTCACAAAATTACTGCTTTGTTTATTTGTTTCTGATCAAATAAATGCAGCCTTGGTGAGCATAAAAGACTTCTTTCAAAAGAGAAAGTGAAAAGAACAGATTGGCATGAAATACAGCATGAACATTTACATCCCAGTCAGTGATGGATGATGATTATCTGTAGTGCAACTTCTAAATCAGCGGTTGTTCACCTGGTAGAGGTATCTCTGGTTGAACTGCTGCATGGCTCCCTGCAGCTGGCTGCGCTGAGACTGCCACTGCTCATAGTTGCGCACAGACTCGGCTGTGGGCCGCTGCCACGTGGTGGTTCTGGTGTTGTGATCCACATAGTAGAACCTGCCACGCTGATCCACACGCTTCTCCCAGCTACAACAGACACGAATCATGGGTTAACACCAGCCCCAGATAAGAGGATAAGTGGCCATGCACAAAAGCAAACTGTAAATACTCTCAGGGGCTGTTCTTTCAGGGCACTTTTTTTTGGTTTTTCAAATGCAGAAATCGCACTAGACGTCTTTGACCTTTGCCACACGTCTCAATGTTTTTTTCAGCATATTGTGCCATTAGACTAAAAGCAGTTAGAAAGACTAAAAGCGCTAGAAAGAGTGTAAACCCTTAAGTATCCGCTACATAAATTTGATCAGATCCTCTGAAGCACAGCGGTGGCAGTTTATTGATGGGTTCTCTGCTATACATAGAAAATTCTACAGGAACTTTTCAAATCTGAACCTTAACACGCTGAATGGTTATAAACCAGAAGAAATGTAAATGTTTTTAAATGGCGGAGAGTCTTGACCATAACTCACTGGCATTAAAAAGAGTAGTGCATGCAACGGATCTGACTCAAATCACTGAGCTGAAACAGTGTTCTGAGGAGAAACAGACAAAACGTCCTCCAAACTGAAGTGCAGAAATGATCTACATTAACCGGAAGGGTTATTGTGTTATTGGTGCTCAAGGTGGATTTAACAGACATAAAAGCCAAAGGATGCCTTACTTTTGCCAGCAATAGAAATGACATGTAACGCCAACTGTGCTGTGCTTTTAGACGGCTGGAGGGAAAGAGGACGACAGAACCTGCTCTCTCATTATTTATCTAGAGCAACTGACCCTGTAAATGAAGTGAACAGGCTGAAATTTAAGACTTTTTAAGACTTCTGAAGGACCCGCAAGGACCGTGTGCGAACACAGAAAAATACATTTACACTTACACTCCAACTCAAGTACTAGTTACTGCTACTGTACACTCAAGCTCAAATGTGCATTTCCAAAAGATGGCAAAAAGATTAAAGATTCAAATGTAATAATTTCACACTTTCAATAAAAATCTTAAAAATAAATATATCATTTACATTTTACATTTATACTGAATCATTTAGCAGATGCATTTATCCAAAGCAACTTACAAATGAGGACAATAGAAGCAATCAAACCAACAAAAGAGCTATAAGCGCTGTGACAAGTCTCAGTCTAACACAGTACACGCAGCAAGGTTTTTTTTTTCTTCTAATAAATAAAAAGAAAATAAGTAGATGGAATAGAAAAAGAATAGAGAACACTAGTGTTAGAAGGTCAAGTTTTTTTCTAATAAATAAAAAGAAAAGTAGATAGAATAGAAATAGAATAAAGAGTGTTAGAGGGTCAAGTGTAGATAGAAGAGATGTCATTAGTAGGGTGGCTCTTATTGGGGGGTAATATTTTTTATTGAAAAAATGTTAACCTCTCACCCCCTCATTTATTTCTCCACTAGAAGTACGGAATGTATGCAAAATGCCATCCAGATAATTTGTCATTTAGGGTATGATCAAAAAATCTTTTTAATCACAGGTACTTCAAGATCTGATTGGTGATTTTAGCTAAGGTTTTGTTCACTGATAAACTTTTGACCATTTCTGATATCAGATGGCCATTTTGCATAACCAGGATGAAGTGTACTTGCTTGGAAGCAAGAAGGAGTCTTTATCAGGTTGCAAGCTTCCGTCCATTGGTGATGTTATTTAAGTATATCTGCACTGAATGGGAAAAAAGGGTATGGTGAAGCATACTGTAAAGCAGCAGTGCAGACCACGAAGGAGGTCCAAGACTTTTGGGAAAAGGCCCACATTCCCATAAGGCCTTTTCCAGACCTTTTAGGAAAATGGGAGGTCTTGAAGAAGAACAAGGGGCGAAGGAGCGAAACACAACAGAAGAACAAAGAAGACTTCAAGGAGACCTTGATCGATCACCTCTGGTATCTCAGTGAGGAACTGGTCGCACTGGCCCTGTTTGATCCAGATGTCACGGTGGAGGAGAAAAGGGCAATGGTTGCTGCAAAAGAGACTGCAGTGGATGAGGAGCCATATAAAAGAGTGCATGCAGACCTTCTAAGCATTGGAACGAAGAATTTGAGCAACTTCGTCACAAAGAATACTTGCAACTTCTTATTCTTGATCTCCGCCAGGACTTCCTAAATGAAGATCCTGGTACCCGGGCAAACAATGCAACCTACATCGCAGCTGAGGAGATTGCTAAGAGCCTGACGTGACCAATGACACGAAAGAGGCAGTGCACTTATCCAAGAGTACAACGGACTCCTCTCAAAGACTCAAGAACAAACGCAGTTCATTATGCAGATTGTCATAGAGCAATGTTTCCAGATGCCCACTAGAGTACTGTGGTTGAAGGACTTGTCTGATCATCATAAATATCTAGATCAGACCTCAATGTTTTGTTCTAAGTTCACTTTCTTCACCAGTACAGTAATTTCTAGAGCCCGACCGATATGGGCTTTTTGGGGCCGATACCGATATTAGGGAGTAAAAAAGGATACCGATATATCAGCCGATATTCTTTGTGTATATTATAGTACAGTACCAGTCAAAAGTTTCTTTAAAAACTTTCCCATTCGTGTGTCTAAACATTTGACTGGTACTATATATAGAATACAGTATATACATAAACACATTTTTTGCAATGATCACTCAAATGTGGTGATCAAACACTTATAATGACGTGACAGAGATACGTAATGATGGAGGCAGGGCATTTAACAATAAACTTTATTATTCAAAATGAGTCTGACATCAGTGCACTGAACAGTAAAGTTGAAGTTTATTCAACTTTAATTCAATTCCATTCAACTTTATTCCGCTGAAGTTTATTTCACTTCGGAACATTTATTCATGGATTTGCACTACTGACTTCACACACAGACGAAACTTACTAGAGAAGTGTGAAGTGTGACATAATGTACCTCTGTAAATAAATACAATATAAATTCACGTCTCGCGCACTTTAATGCCCTTTGAATGTAACATGTACATTCCCTTGGAACTGGAATCATGGCGGAATTTCATGTGAAGTCCACTTCGCAGCGCACTTACGGTTGAATAAGACAACGCTTGAATGCTGCTGCCTGAACAAGAGACCTCCTTACTGAAGTTAAAGTTTTGACTGGTGTCACTATCTCGTGAATGAGCTGGCGGATCTCCACCAAATTCAGGGGATCCCTTCAGCTCGAGGAGCCCTCTCGAACGCCACCCTCCGCGCGTCGGTAGCTCTCTGGGATCGCTTGATCGGTCAGTGCCGGACCGCGAATTAAACCACCCATAACTCCCGAACCCAGGGGGATATCGACGTGGGGGTGGTCTCATTCGAAAGCGGACCTCTAGACGTACACTCGATCCGCATTCAAGAGGGTTCCTCGAGCTGAAGGGATCCCCCGAATTTTGTTCGGATTCACCGTGCCGTTATGGAGATATGGCCGTTCAAAGTTTCAATGGTTTTCCATAGATTTAATTAAGCTTTAAAGCGTTTCATCCAGGTCGCCTGTCAAGTGCGCTCTGCTGGACAAACTAAGTAATTACACCATTTCAAGCATTTTATCTGCGTTATATGTTCTGTAAAAAATGTTTTTATATCGGCGGCATATTCGCCGATACTGATATATCGGCGACAGGCTCATATCGGCTGATAATATCGGCAAAACGATATATCGGTCGGGCTCTAGTAATTTCACTTTGTTGCTGAAGGACATGTTAAAGTGACGTGACATGGGGCCAAGTATGGTGTCCCATAAATTTGTGCCCTGCATTTCACCCATCCAAGTGCGCACACACAGCAGTGAGTAGTGAACAAACACACAGACACACACACACACACAGGTTTACTTTTGTGAAAAGTGGGGACATCCCATAGGCGTAATGGTTTTTATACTGTACAGACCGTATATTCTATTGCCCTTTACCAACCCTACCCCTAAACCTACCCCTCACAGGAAACTTTGTGCTATTTCAGATTTTCAATACACTCCATTCTGTGTGATTTATAAGCGTTTTGAAAAGTTGGGACATGGCGTAATGTCCTGAAAAGTTACCTTCTCCTTGTAATACCTATGTCATACCTTTGTCATTATACAAATTTATGTCCTCATTTGTCACAAAAACGCGTACACACACACACACACACCATGAACACACACCCAGAGAAGTGGGCAGCCATTTTTGCTGCAGCGCCCGTGAAGTAGTTGGGAGTTTGGTGCCTTGGTCAAGGGCACCTCAGTAGTGGGAACTGAAAGTGGAAGAGTGCACTGTTCATTCACTTCCCCCACCTACATTTCCTGCTGGTAATGAGATGCGAACCCGCGACCCTTGGGTTACAAATCAGACTCTCTAACCATTAGGCCACAAGTACCCCATGTCAGACTGTCACCACGATCTAGATCAGACTGCAGTTTTTCAAAGATCAGTTCTCATCAGCAGCGTTGTAATTTAACATGTTAAGACTAACAACACTCTTCTGTGTTCTCATTTTTTACCTAATTCGCCATTTTCTAATGGTCTTGTATAATTATTAATTACATGCTGTTGTGGTCATTAAGACGGAATTTCAATGTTGTTGAGCACACCCCAAACATAGTCCAATCTCAGCTAAATTTGGTTTGTTTCCATTTCTCATGAAGGGGAGTTGACTGGGCGGGTGAGAGCAGAAGCTCCAAAAATAAGCTGTTTCTTGAAGATGTCTAATGACTCGGCTGCTCAGATCAAGTTGGGCAGATCATTCCACCAGCAGGGAACAATTAAGGTGGAAGTCTGAGAAAGTGATTTTGAGCCTCTTTGGGATGGCACTACAATGCGCCATTCACTTCCAGAACGCAAGCTTCCGGAGGGCACATAACTCTGAAGTAGTTTATTTACATAAAAAGGGTGCAGAGACAGTGGTTGTTCAAATACAAAACTCACGCCTGATTTCCTCAAATGTCATTTCTGTCTGACGGAGAGTGTAAAACTGTGCACCTTCTCAAAATATTCATTCATATTAGCGAAATGGTGATCTGAACAATCCCTTTGGGGGTTGGCCTTCAGGGATGGGCCCTTCACAATTAACATGAAAAATTATTAAGCATTTTCTGGCAAATTTTTACATTTAATCAAATATAAAATTCAATTATAAATATAACTGCAAGCAGTAATAATCAGGTCCAAGAACCAATGTCCCATGTGGATTATTAGAGATCCAACTGAAATGTATTTATCATATAGTTTTTACAGTAAAGTTCATCTTGAACCTTCACTGACTGTTAGATAAAATATACGTTTTTTTTTTTACGCTTGTATGATATGTGATCATAATATACGTGGTCAACTCATATGAAACATTTACATTTAGATAAATCATATGTCACAGGACAATTTCATATCAATCTGAATATTTTAAGTGCAGCTCAAAACTTTAGTATTTATCTTAAGGCCCTTCTTATGTTTATCATTTATTTCTATATGTGTTGCCTTTTAAACCGTAACAGTGTCAACTGTTGTGTTTAAACTCTAATGTTTTGCAATGCTTTGTAGAAACTAAATCCAAGAATGTAATAAATAATGTAACATTTTGCACAAATTATAGTATAATCTACAATGCAGAAATACTACACAGAACAAACTGTCATACTAAAGAAAACATCTATGATTACTTATATGCTTGCAGTTTAGCACAGTGTTTAATTTAACCACAACACTAAAGATGTCTTAAAAATATATTATTCTTATTTATCTTAAAAGAGACAAGAGACAAATTGTCTCTCCATTTTAACTGACAGCACTAAATGTAATCTTGTCTGGCAAGTGGCAACTTGACAAATATGTTTTATTGGGGTATATACTGTTAAATAAATAAACATTTAAAGACTAAACAAGATTAGTCTTTAACGAGTCATAAAAAATGCAAAAATGCACACTTCTGTTCATCAATTTGCACTGGCTATCAATAGCTGCTTACATAAAATTCAAGGCGTTCATTTTTTCAGAAGCTTGCATTCTGCAAGTGAACGGAGCATTGTAGTACCATCCCAAAGAGGCACAAAATCACTTTCACTGACTTTTGATCTGCCCAACTTGATCCGAGCAGCTGAGTCCTTAGCCATCTTCAAGAAACAGCTAAAAACACATCTCTTCCATCTTCAATTGACCCTCTAACTCTAGCACTCTCTATTCTATTTTTTTTTTTTTAAACCATGACCCTCTAACACCAGTGGTTCTCAAAGTGGGGGGCACACCCACCGGTGGGGCACAGGCCATCAGCAGAAAAATAAAAAAATAAATAAAACAGTAAACAGCCAACGAATGTAGAATGGGAGATGGATCGGTTTGTGAAAGGCAAGAGAAAAGCCACAGATGAAGTCGCACAGAACCAGGCAGGTGCTGGTCATTCAAAAACTAAATGCAGAAAATACGATGAGGCATATCTTGCTCTCGACTTCAGAGGCTGTCTACACTGGACGCAACAAAGCGACCGTTGAAAATCATTTGAACTTTGTGTCAGTACGTCATAAATAGAACGAGACAGCAGTTTACTGTTGGGGATTTGTTGCGTCACGCCACACCGCATCGCTGATTATAATGGGTTCTACTGTATTTTGTCATGGTTTTGATTGCTTCTATTGTCCTCATTTGTAAGTCGCTTTGAATAAAAGTGTCTGCTAAATGACTAAATGTAAATGTAAACATTTATTGATCTATAATCATTTCACAGATTTCTATGTGCACTATTAATATGAAACTGTACTGTCAGTCCATAGTTCTCTCCAAGATCTATGCATTTATTTCCATTCAAAGTGATGGAAATTGATAGAAAAAACTCAACCTAAAATATTTATCCTGCATGTCCCTGTAGTGGTGGACAACATTAGGATCACAGCTTTCATCTTTCAGCTGAAATGCCTGATTTGCTGTTAGCCTCCCAAGCATCATAAATTCATGAAACTAAGCATGTTTGCTCAAAATGACATGTTCTCCCTATGTAGGCCATGATTAGCCGATGAAATTTGATTGGCTGCTTGTGGTCATGTCTTTTTAGTCATATTAGGAATATGTTAGGACGACAAACAAAGCAGCAGCATATTATTTTTCAACTTCAGCTATCATACTGTTGTGGAGTTATAGGAGTTTTAGTTGTACTTGGGTGAAATTTGATGAAAGATGGTTTGTGTCCTCATATCAAGTTTCTTTAGCTATATGGTTCAGTTTCATAGATATGGGAATCTCATTAGGTCTCATTACCCAATTTAACTGGTCAATATCACACTTGCTGATATTCTACATCCCACAGTAACAGCGTGCACTCTCAAGGCAGGTTTTTATTTTATGCAAAGTGACATACTCGATGATCTTTTAGGGTGTTGAAGTGAGATTTGATGTTAATGTGCAAATTGTTAGGGATGGACATTGATCTAGCAACTCCTTCCATAAACATTACCTGTCAGCATGTATAAATATGTGACAAAGACAGATACACACCCTGGTGGGAGGGGTCTCTCCCATGTGGTGGTCTTTGTGTTATGATCCACATAGTAGACTCGTCCATGAGGAAGAATTCGCTGTTCCCAACTACAAGAAATCAAAAACACTGAGCAAACCGATATGGCATGTTTTCATGTTTAAATTCAGCCCCAGCTCTCTGACGTACCCAACAGGCAATGCATCAGTGGTGTGTGTCTCTGTGGCTATACTGGTCTGATCGGTGGAGGATGGGGTCTCTGTGGCTGCTGGCAGGGCAGAACTGTCCATCCCAGCAGAGGGGGTTGAGCTCAGTGAGGGTGACGACAGAGCTGGACATGATAGATGACCGCCCTCAATCCCATTAGCAGCCGTCTCACCTTTACCTGAGCAAAGACCAACAAAAGTGTAAAATTAACAACATCATACCAAATCAGACCACTCAAAGAATGTTTACTAGGGCCTAAGTAGGGCAATACATATATACGGAGTCATCATTTACTTACCCTCATGTGGTTCCAAACCCTTAAGACTTCGAAACACAAATTAAGATATTCTAAACAAAACTAGAGAGGATTCTGTCCCTCCATTAAAAGTTCAGGTAACCAAAACATAAAAGATCCAAATATGGGTTGTTAAAGGCAATATTTGAGCTTCCATGTTCCATGTGTGTCAATCTTTTTTTTTTAAACCTCTCACTGAAAAAATTTGGTGTATAAACAATTTTCAATCAGAAATTGCTAATAAATTTCACAAATAATTACAAAGAAATGGTAAGTAACACATTAAATTAAATGTGAAATAGAAGAACTGAAGCAGCATTTCCTTGTAAAAAAAAATACTCCAATAACCTTTGTTTTATTTAAAACTTTGACAAATTATTATTCTTTTATTTTTTTGGCAGAAACCTCTCCGGTTTCACAAAAAAAAGGATTAATTTTGCTTTGAAGATTAACATTAGTCTTATGGGTTTGAAACAACAGACTAGTGGGTCATGACAGAATTTTCATTTTTGGGTGAACTATCCGTTTAGGTGTCAATCAACAGAGATTTTGCTATATCATTTATGTAAACATATCCAACTATCAGTGGGCAGGAATTCTTAAAGCTACTGAAAAGTCAGAGGAATAAAGAAGCATGGATGAATGAGAAAATAAAGGGCGGGATATGCTTATTATAAAAAGCACAAACATTTTTTACTGTCTTAACACATTTTGTCAAAATAATAGCACCTTTTGTGAATGAACACATTAGCTGGGTTTCCATCCAAAGTTGCGAATTTAACTTATGCACAAAAGTGGTATATCACTTAAAACATTTAAGAATAAGAACCGTTTCCATCCAATGAGTCAAAGAGAACAAAATTGTCCCTTCCTGATAAACTGGCACTAAATATCACTAAGAAAAGTAGGAGAAGACACTCAATATAATAATTTTATATATTGTTGTATGAGTTAAATTACTTGTTCCTCAGAGCGAGCAGACGAAACAGTAAATGCTCTCATTGGTTTTGGGGGTGTATGCTGCTGTTTGGGAACACAGTAGTGTAAGACAGTTCTGGGAGGCAATTATACAGAAACACTTTTGATGACAGACTTTGCTCGGGCATTTAAGAAAGACCATAAAAACATTTCAGATGCTGTGCAACGAGATCGGTCTGCTGGTTAGTCAGGTTTTGCCGTCTCATAGCACAGTCACATGATGCACATGGAGGAACTTATTTCCATCTCTCATTATTTGCATTAACCCTTTTTTGCACAAGTCAAATAACAGCTCAAGCGAGCATAAAACCTTTTTTGCAAAAAAAGGGAATTTTTTTATTGAAATTTGCCGTTTCCATCACTCGTTTCTGATGCAATACTTCAAAATGCACATACAAACAAGGTGATGGAAACATAGCTTTTGATTACAGTATTAGATTAAGATAAGCACTCATCACCTTATATCTCAGTGTGTTATGATCATATTTCATAGCAGCCTGAGTGGGTTTGTATGTTTGTAATGTGTGTGTGTGTATCTGACCAGCGTCGCTCAGGCTGCTGATGGCCGTCTTTGAGTTGCGGCAGCATGTGTTGTCTGCAGCTTCTCCGTTCAGTTCACCATTAGTGAGAACAGCTCCTCTGACATCAGCTGGAGAATCTCCACAAGAACCCACAGATGAATGAGCTAAACTTCTGAAAATATATGACAGATTCATTTCAGACTCAGTGTTGTTACTGTATGTATGCGCGCCGGTTATTTCTGTGTATTTCCTGTTATTCCTCTGTAAACCCACACACAGTGAATACGTTTAATTATGGGTGTGTCCAACCTATCTGTACATGGGGGCAAGTATTTTTAGTAAATATCCTGTAATACTCCCATGAAGGGTGCACACAATTTGTTAGATTGCCCAAGCCAATTATATTATTTGGGATCTTAGTAAATCAGACCTAAGACTGATTAGACAATGTTTATCACCAACATTTCCAAGCAACACATTTGCTTGCCAGTCATGATTATTTGGAGCATTCTGGTGGGTTTGGCAACTCAGTTTCCGGTTTGACAGAATTGACATTGTTGTCTTTTTAATTGTACAAGTAAGCAACAGAGTTTCCTAAAGGTATTTTTTTTAATAAAAATTGTGCTCACCCACCCAAGCATGTTCTCTCAGCACAATTCAGTCATAAAAAACCATTGTGTGTGCAATGTTCCACAGCTGATATGCTCTACTTTTGTCTTTATTTATTAATTGAATTATTTAACACTATTTTGCAACAGCTACAAATGTGGTTCTGGAGTTGGTTTCAAATCAGAGAAAATAACCAAAAATTGTATGAAGCACCTTTCACTGGATTACTCAAAAATAGTGGTCATACCACTAACCCCTAACACCAACTAGTGATTCTTTAGCCCATTTAGTATATTACGCATTGAAAACAAGGCTGTGCTTACTAGGACATGAGAGAGAAAGCACAACAGAAGACATGAAACAGGAGAAGCAGAAAACACATTAAGAATATTCAGTGATAAGCAATTGAAAAAACAAAAGATATTTGTGCTGACCGTCCACGGGGGCTGCTGGTACTCGGGGTCTCTTCACTATGAGCTCTGTGCAGATTAGACCTGCTCGAGTGAACTATCTCTGCAAAGAAAAAAACCCCAAAATCATCATAAGTAAGTGCATTAGGAGTGATTCACATACATCATGCAGAAAAGTTTGTCATTCCTGCGTCACAGGTTGAAAACCAGAGCCATTTGATGCTTTTAAAACAACCTACTTTTCATGACCTATTACAGTATGTTTGATAATTTCACAATTACAAAAGCGCAAAAAATTGGGACATCTAATGCTGTAATGCTCCAAAGGGTAGAGAGACACCAAAGCACAATTTGGAAAGTGCCGGTCATAGTATTACTCAGAAAAACATCCTTGTGCTGAGCTGAAAATGCTGCAAGAGCCACTAATATTAGTGATCTGTATTAAAATGTGTTGTGTGTTGATTGGCAAATACTGTACAATAGAAAACATTGAGAGAGCTGACAAACATACTATTACGCGCATTCATTTGCGATGCTCAGTTCTGGTTTAATTTTGGTTATATCCAGTTTTCTGCATATACGTCAATAGATGTTGTGTTAGTTCATGTTTTCAATAATCTGTGTAAGAAAGACACCCTCATGTCGTTCCAAACATGTATGACTTCCTTTCTTCCTTGAGCACAAAAACAAGAATCTGAGCAAAATGTTCACACTGCTTTTCCATATAAACGTCATTGTGACCGTCCATATGACTTGTATGCTATATTTCAAGCCTGCCCATAATACTTATAATATTTCTGCCGGTTTCTCACACAAAGCAAAGTTATTATTCACAGAAAATCTTTTCCTCCTAGTTAGCTCTCAGACTTGTGCGATTTGAATATGAGCACAAGACACAAGAAACAATGATATCTGACAATAATTTTGTCTAACACATCTGGAAGAGGCACATTTATAGACAGACACATTTAAATAAGATGTGAGAGCTGTGGTGGAGGAGATAATGATTTAAATTTGGCTCTGTTCCTCACGCAAATCTGTTGATTATATGGAAAAAATAGAGTGAACATTACACTAAAGTTCTGAAAATCATAGTTTGGAATCCCATAAGGGGAAAATTCTCATTTGTGGATAACCATTCATTTCATACTGACATTCATCTGAAATTAAATCAAATAGATTTCGACTCCACTTACGTTGTTGCTCTTAATTAATCGCGTTTGCATTTTTCCTTGTTTTCTTTAAGTAGTTTAACATGAAAGTGTCTGTTAATAAATCGCGTTTGCATTTTTCCTTGTTTTCTTTAAGTAGTTTAACATGAAAGTGTCTGTTAATAAATCGCGTTTGCATTTTTCCTTGTTTTCTTTAAGTAGTTTAACATGAAAGTGTCTGTTAATAAATCGCGTTTGCATTTTTCCTTGTTTTCTTTAAGTAGTTTAACATGAAAGTGTCTGTTAATAAAAGGCTTGCAGTCGCAGTTGCAAAACTCAAATGGAGCGGCATTAAACCTTTTATTACAAAAGTCACAAGTTACTGTAAGAAAGTTTGAAGCTTAGTATGTTTGAGCACAAGTTTCTGTTTACTGAACGCGTGTGTGCCATTCTGTCTTACCCAGGCTTGTACACAAAGACCTGTTTATATACTGCGTGTGTTTCAGAAAAAAACCGCCAGGGGTAATGAGGGAAAACATTAAACCAACAAGAGCGACTTCAGAGCGAACAGAGGACCCTAACAGACCTGCACACACTCCAACCTTTATCCACCGCTGAAGGTCAAATACAAACTTGCATGCTGAGAGAAAACACACGCCAGATCTTTATACTGTACGTGGCTAAAACCAGAATTTGAGAGCGCATCACAAAGCCAGTTGTTGTTCTGGTATGTTGTGAAGGACATTTATGTCAAACTGCCAATCTATTAAGAGAGAGAGAGTGTGTGTGTGTGTGTGTGTGTGTGTGTGAGTGTGTGAGTGTGTGTGTGTGTGTGTGTGTGTGTGTGTGTGTGTGTGTGTGTGAGAGAGTGTGTGTGTACAATGAGTAACTGAAAGACAAAGTCAGACAAATCACTGAAAAATAGCAACAGATTATTCATCTCCAGAACAACAGTAAAGTCCTTCATAGGCACATGCATAAGAAGCATTTACACTCAGAGCTTCTGTTGGTGTTCCATTCATAGGTTAAGCAGCTCCAACCCAATCTACCTAAATGGAAACAAAAACCCTTCCAAATTCAAATTGTGTTTACAAAATAAGATTTTCACAAACATATGCAATACATGCAATCAACCAAAGCCACAGAAATTCCAGAATGACTAAAACTGTATGAATAGCATATTAAATGTAGGACTGAC